TGCTATGAAACTCAAAGAATGGTTTGAGAGGCTACAGGGTGAGCAAGTGGACTTATGACCTAGAAAGCTGGGTGCTCAGGGTTAAGCGAGGTTGCCTTAATTTCTGTAGCAATAAGAGTTCAGAGAGTGTTTAAAACAAGGAAAAGGCAAGATAAGATTTGTGTCCTAGAAGATCGTGCCAGGCAAAAACTAATACATGCACGAAATCTTTCTGGCCTAGTGATATATTTCTTTCTTTTGACATAATATAATTTCTAGGAAATTATAATGGATGAGAGCAAATATTTATTTACTAAGAAATTAGTGAAATTATCTGTACCTCTTAGTGAAAAGTTGAAGATGATCTAAACGAGGTCTAACAAGGCAGAGATTTGAAAAATAAATATTAGTAAGTGTATAAATGCAAAGTACTATACATTTAGAAATATTAAAAGAATTTTGTTGACAAGGAAAACTCCTAATAAATATATGGAAAGGAAAAGTAAGGGCAAAACAATATACTCTGTATGATCTCCTTTTGACTATTTCTTCAGACATATATGTATGTATATGTGCATGTGTGTGTGTGTGTGTGTGTGTGTATGTGTGTGTGTGTGTGTGTGTACTAACTCGTTTAAGGGTAAATATTTCTAAATAGTGGGGTAATGAGTATTTACATTTTTTTTTACTTATCTGGATTTTAAAATTTTTAAAAATAGATCTGATTACTTTTCTAACATGAAAATAAGTGTCTTTCAAATATTTTACATGAAAGCAAGGAACTGTTTATAGGAAGACAGGGAAGCAGAAATGCTCACTTTGGAATTCATATTTCTTTCTTTTGACATACTTTGTGTTCCCCTTCTTAGTCCAATTCTCATGACTTCAGACACTTTGGAATAAGAATTAAAAGTATGACCTTCAATTACTTCTAAGCATTAGGTTTGGAGTCACCAAGTCCACACCAGGGTCAAATCACTCTTTCTCTTCCATCTTTAACAGATATGTATTGCCAACTGTTTGGCTTTTGGATTCACGAGCTTCGGAGGGACTTACCTGCTTTGAAGAAGGTAAATCATCCCCTTAACCCTATTGATTCTTCCCAGCTTCTTCCATTGCTATCGGTGAGGCTCCTCAGAGTATTGTTCAAAAGTCATTTAATTCACCCTCCAGACCTCAGCTGGGCCATTCCCAATCCCTTTATCCTGCCTTCTGGACACAAGCTCACAGAATATTATTTTGGATTGTTTTTGAATCATCTTGCTCTTATCTTTCTCCTAGCCTCATGCTGGTACCTTCCTTTTGGTTGTGCCTCTTCCAGTTTGGCTTGATGTCATCCCTTAAAATAGTAGCTCTAAAGTTTCCATGTGCAAAACAAACAAACAAACAAACAAACAAACAAACAAAAAAACCACATAGCTGGGCACATTGCTATAAATCCACATTCTCAATCCACACCCCTTGGAGGTCTTGATTTAGTAGTTCTGGATCTTGGAGTGGCAATCTGACACCCCCAAGTAATTCTGATGACTACCACTCTTGGGCAGTGTGTTGAGAAGGGGCAACACCTTCCCCTCCCAGTATGCACAAGAAATTTCACTCTCCCTGCCCTCTTACTTCTCTTGTAGCTCTGGAAAACCACACTCTCCAGCACTTTTAAGGACAATACACAGTATACTGGGTCCACCTCTGGAGCTGCAAGTGACACTTTGAGTGCATACTTATTTTCCAGTAAGAAGGTCTACAGCTTTCACCTGATGATCAAAGAAAATCAATCTACTATCCAAAATATTAAAGGAACCCTAACAAGCCATTAAACAGATTTATGCTTTGAAAATCAATTACTTTCCCACTTGATATGCTTCATGTCTAAACATTGTTCAGCTTAGACTGTTTTCTTGGGGCATGACCCCATCTTGACATGGATTTTACTGCTTTGGCAAGTATAAGAAGAACAGATGAGGAGATACAGAAAAGACACCTGCTGGCCCTTTGTCCCCATCAGCCTTTTCCCTTGGCATATCTGTTCTTTACATGGTTTCTCATCTGGGCCTATTTCACCCTCTGTTTTTGGTGATTGGCTATTCTTACTGTTCACTCCCATGCTCATTAGACTATACATCAAATAGCATAAACAAAAATTGAAATGTCTTACATTGAAAAGAGAATGCACGAGAAGATTTATGGGGTTTTGCAAAAATGCCTGAATTTATTGCTGCCAGGGAGCCTGCAGCATACTTTCTTTTTGTTTTGTAGACTCTGATATAGAGATAAAAGGGGGTAGTGACTAGCTCCATGGAGTTAGCATCTCTGGCAGTTAGGGCGTGGGCACAAAACCTGGATCCACTAATCAAATCAAGCCTTGACTTGGGACTAGAAGATAGAGCAGTGGAGTAGTGGATACTTTGCAGAATCCATTTTGGCAGTCAGTGGTTGTGGACATATCCAGGTCTCAGACGCAGCATTTCAGCAGTGTCCTGGGTCCAGTGTTAGAGGTATAAACTGTGAGGTTTAGTGTCACAGTGTGGGTGTGGGTGTGGGTGATGCCTTCACACAGACGACTTCTATGGCTTAGGTTTGGAGCATTTTCCTAGCTGCACAGATTATATACTGGGTTCTCTGGCCCTTCCTGAGGGTTCATGAGCTACTGAGAACACTCTCAATAATTTCCTTTCTGCTAAAATCAACCTTAGTCAATTTCTCTTGGCTTGTCTCTCCAGCCATATCATGTTCAACCGCGTCTCTATATCCTCATGTTCATTTTCCTTTTCTGAGTGGCATAAATTTTTGTCTAATTTCATCAGAAATAGTAACCCATTTACAAATCAGTAGGATAGTTGCCTCTTTCTTTCCTTTCTTACTTAAAAAATTTGATTGTGGAAAGTTCCAAACTTATGCAAAACAAGAGAGAATGCTACTGTGAATTCTTAGAACAACATGCAGCTCCAACATTTTGCCACTTATGTTTCATCTTTCCTTTTTCCTTATCTTTGTGGGAATAGAAAGAGAGGAGATAGAGTAATTTAATGGCAGTTACAAAGCATTGTACTTTCTCATCCATACTTTATATGTACCTCTAACAGATAATAACCTAAAGATAAACAGTATCATTATCACAGCTCATCATCAACAACATATTATTTAACATCTCGGTTTCTGCCAAATGGATTTCTATAACTGGTTTGTTTGAATGAGGTTTCAAATATATCCCACACCATATATTTAAGGGATATTGTCTATTTCCCCTAATTTATTTTTACTAAGCTAAAATTCACAAGCCTAATATGTCTCTTAAATTTCTTAAAACCTATCAGAGTTCTTCCTTCCCCTTTATTTCATACTACTTATTTTTGGAGAATTTCTTAATGCGCTATAGAATTTCTACATCTCTGTGTCATCTGACTGTATCCTTGTGATGCTGTTATCATGTTCCTCTTGCTCATTTTTTCCTTGTAAATTGGTGGTTAGTTCTAGGGGACTGAATACATTCTATTTTCATATACTTTAGATTTGTCCTTTCCTTTGCTTTTTTAAAAGATCTAGTTTTGTCCTAATTCCCCCAAGAATTCATTACTATGCTCAGTGTCTTTTCTTGGACACATGTAGGCTTTACCTAGCTATCATTCCTTTTGTGTTAATAGTTTAGATCTGCACTATCTCCCAAAGGTCTCGTGTGTTTGTAAGGTGATTGGATCATGGGGTGGGGGACATGCTCGTCCGTGGATTCATCCATAAATGACCTCAGTGGCTGTGTATGCTGTTAGGAGGTCCAGCATGTTAGAGTTGGTCACTGGAGGTGCGACTGGGAAGGTGCCTTCTTGTTCCTTGCTCCTCCTTTCTTTATCTGCTTTCTGGCTGCTATGGGTGTGTAGCTTTCCTCTAACATGCTCTTCACCATGAACTTCTGCCTTGGAGCCAGCTAACTTTAGACTGAACCCACAGGAAACTGCAAGCCAAATAAACCTCCTTTAAACTGTGAGTATTCAGTAGGTATTGTGTTCCAACAATGGAAAAGTACTAATGTACCCTATGGATTAGATTAAGATCATTCCTATTTCTAAACAGGCAGGAACCATGTGCAGGGACCATCTAGGTGTCATTGCTATCCTTTGCTCTATACTTAGTGCACACTGTGCCCGTCACAAAGTATATGCTTCATCAATAGTTCCTGAGCTAGCTGGACACGGGCGTGCAGAACACAACCAGCTATCTGCTGCTTAGGCTTGCTGTTCTCTGTGGTTTTCCTCACTGTGTTGCACAAGTCTTGATTAAACTCCTGGACTGCGCATCTCAAAAGGGAAGAGCTTAATGTGTTTTTGTAGCCCGGGCACCTAACACAACTCCATGCTTACACCAGTACGTGCTCAATGTATATGACTTGGGGGCCTTGCACGATTTATGTCAGTTTCAGTAAGAGGTATTATGGCTTTTGTATGGATGTCCCCCCAAAGCCTCATGCAGGTATGGGGGGCAGGTTTTTCAGAGGTGGCTGAAATCTAGAGTTTGTGATTGAGTCATGGCCCAATGCTGGGATTAAGGGTATGAGTGCTACACCTGCCCTGGAGGGGGTAGCCTGCATACAACATAAGGGACAGAAAAAGGCCCCCTGTTCTCTGTTGCTTTTTCTGTCTTCCACCGCCATGACCTGTCATCCCTCTGCTATGTGCCACCCTGCCTTGGAACCAGCCGATTAGGGACTGAAACTTCTATAAATTGTGAGCTAAACAATCCTTTCCCCCTTTAACTTTACTTGTTGGGTATTTTGTTTCAGCAATGAGAGAATAGTAACTAAGACAAGAGGTTTATGTGACAAGTGTATATAAAGCATTATATAACTGCAAATAAAATTAATGACAGTAATTATAATCTCTAGTCACTGCTTTCATACATTTAATAGGCACAGCCCTCAGAGTTCAAATGTATAGAGCTATTGATTTACCATCTATTTCTAGAGATGTTACTTACTCAAAGGTTTTAACTCACTAATGAAGAGAAATTTACAAGGGACAGCCATCAAGTGGTCAACTTTTTATTAGGCAGATTAATGATGTGGTAGCCCAGAGAAAATTATCCATTTAAAGAAGTGAAAGATTTTTATGGTGCTGTCATAAAGCTCTTTTGGCCATTAGTGACAAAAAAACCCAAAATAGTTCTAGTGAAAAAGAATTTTCTTGTTCATATATCTGGAAAGTCTGAGGACATCTAACTCCAGGTATTCCTGGAAAAAGGAATTACAACAAAGTTGTTGTACTTTTCAGTCCCTAGGCTTTGCTGGTCTCTGTTTCTCTCGTCCGATCCTCATTCTCTTCTATCTTCCATCATCTTCCTTATGTGGCTGGAGTATACAGCTCCAGATTTTCTTCTTTCCAACACCATACTCCCCAAGTCAGATCCTCTTCCCCAGCTGCTCTGCAGGAAAATCCCAAGGATGACTAGCAATGATGCGAGGGCCCCCTATCGGAAGGAATCACTGCAGTTAAGCAAATGGGGCCATCTGATTGGTCAGGATGAGGTCACACACCCAATCCTGAGCACTACCATGATACACTGTCAGATAGCATTGCAATGGACAGTTCTGGGAACGTGTAGGGAAAACAATACATTGTCTACCTCACCTCAGAGCTCTGACCCCAAGATCTCCCTGGGAGGTGCCCTTAGAGATAGTTCTGGGGTCCCAGCTTTCCTGACAGGTTTGGGAGTTGCCTGTGCAATATAATGAATGACATAATGGACTGCTTCATTACAGCTCTAAAGAGGCTATAATCCTCAGTTCTATCATGAAGTCTGTGATGGCCTTCAAAAAGTCAGAGACCAAAATTATACACGACATTTTATTTCTATCTGTGTTTCCTAAGAAGTCCATACTAAAATATTCATTGCTTTCCTCAGATTTAAAAGCCTCAGATGCTAGGCATGGTTGTGCATGCATGCAATACCAGACACTTGGGAGGCTGAGGAGGAAGGATCACAAGTTCGAGGCCAGCCTAAGTAGCTTAGCAAGACTCTGTCTCAAAGGCTGGGGATGTGGTGCGGCTCCGTAGTAGAGCACCTGTGTAAGTACACACAAGGTTTCTGGGTTCAATCCTTACTACAGGATCAGGGGTTGGGTTCTGGTGGGCCATAAGATTAAGAAGACTCCAGTGTTTCTTGCTGGAGTTGCCGCTGACACTTGGAGGAAGAAGTCTGTTATTGTGTAGGATGTCGAATGTCTCTGGCCTATACCCTTAAATGCCTACATCAGCTTCAAGTTATGCAAATCAGCCCCTCTTTCAGAGTACCATGCACTGATAGTGGAGAACCTAGATGAGATTAGAAGTCTAGACTGCATGTTCTCTTCCTGTTTTACTTTTCTTCTTCCTCTGGCAGAGAGTAATACTTCTTTATTTTTGACACTCAATTTCCAGTGATTTGTCTATCAAGGAATACCATACTTTCCCTGGGGGTGTTTTCAAGTTTTCTGTCATATTTTAGTGATTAGAGTGAAGGACCAAACAGAAGTATTTTGGGCACTGAACTTCATTATGGGATTTTGGTGACTGTCACTGCAACACAGTATGCCCCTGCACCTTTTCCACATTTTCTTGATATCTTCTGCTCTGGAACCAGCTCACCTATTGAAGATCTTTCCTTATGTGAAATTCAGTGTTTTACTGTGAGGTAGGATGTGCAAAAGGGCAACTCTTGAGATTCCTAATCCTGAGGGTAGCCTTCTTAGATTCTCCTTCTAGAATTGCTGTTTATTTAATTTATTGATAGTGGGGAATTGAACCCAGGCCCTTTTCTCTGGGCTACATCCCCAATCCTTTGTAAAAATTTAAATTTTGACATGTTGTCACTAAGTAGCTAAGTAGGCTCAGGTCTAGCTTTCCATCTTCCTCTCTCAGCCTTCCACAATGCTGAGATTTCAGGCGCGAAGCACCAAACAGTTTAGTTTTATCAATTCTGGAAGGAAAAACATCACTTCTGAGAGTTAGTCTGCAAAGCATATCTTCAAGCTCGAATACAAAAAAAGAGTAGCTTCAGGATCGATGTCTAACGAGCTGCTTTAAAAAAAAACACACACACATTACAAATCACTTTCTTTTAGATTTGACTTTACAACACCTTCTAAAACAGGTTTCTCAACCTCTTCTTTTCTAGATGGAGAAATCGAGGCTTCTAGGAATCAAGGGACAGACCCACGATTGCACAGTGCTTCTTAGAAGGACTCAGACTTCACCTCTGAATTTTATTAGTTCAAATGCCGTCTTTCGACTTTCTACTGCCTCCTAGATGCCTCAGGTCACTTCTCATAAAAGACACCTGCTAGAACTTACCAGAGGCTCGGACTGACAGGACAAAAGCGCTGAAGCTCAATCGTCTGTGGCTTCCCGAGTTCTGGGAAGCCCAGACGGGGTTGACAAACTCTTGAAATGTTAGGGCAATCTCATTTAAACTCCCAGCCAACTGAGAAATTGAAAGCAGACAGCGACGACGCCCGTTCTGTAACTTGGTGCATTTTTAAATTAACCGAATCTTTCGAGTGCTGCTTTAGATTAGAGGTGGTTAATTGGAAAGAGCCGCTCAGTTGATGAATAGTACTATAAACGTCCAGTCTGGGTTGGTTCCGGAAGAGGATCGCACAAGACAGCTTCTTCAATCCTGTTTTCATTACAGTGTGTGAAGGAAAGTTCCAACACTCTTTTCCAACCCGTTGACGAGTTGATACGTCTCAGCCCAGGAAAATACAATCGCTGATAGGATGTTTTTTAAAGACCGGCTTCAATACTAAAACTTTCTAGTGCCAAAACTCTTCCCTATTTTATTTTTAAAAGAAGGACCTGGCGTGCCCTCGCAAATGTCTGAGCTGGAGGAGGCGGGTTGACCGCGGGACAGCGGGCTGAGTCCGTTCTTATTAATATTAAATAGCCACGTCTGTACCCTAGAAGCAAGTGGGGAGAGAGGAGGGAGAGGAGCTGCTGACATTGACAATGAATCCGAACAGGAGTTGCACTAGCGGTGTCCACCACGTTGCTGCTCCGTCGCCTAGCCTTCTGGGAGCTGTAGTTTTTCTCGGGAGCTGCTCCCCTGGAGAGCCGGGGCGCCTGGCCAGGACGGAACTACAACTCCCAGCCAGCGCTGGGGCTCGGCCCCTCCCGCACGGGTACGAGTGTAAACTCACCGCGCGGGGGCGGGCGGCAGCGCGCGGGCCGGCGGGTTGGGCACTGAGCGGGGGCGCACTCCTGTGGGGGACCCAGGCCCGGCCACCTTCCTCGCGTCCCCGCTTTCTCTTCTCACTTTTGAGCAGCGGAAGTCCGGGAAGCCACAGCCATGCAGTCGGAATCGGGGATCGTGCCGGATTTCGAAGTCGGGGAGGAGTTTCACGAAGAGCCCAAAACCTATTACGAACTCAAAAGTCAACCTCTCAAGAGCAGGTGAGTGGGGCCAGCCGGACCGGGACGCGGCGAGAGGCGGGCGCGCCCGCGCGTGCCCCCTGGGGCGGGCAGAGCGGGTCCCGGAGCCCGGGACAAGGACCCCGTGCCCTT